GTAAAACTGAAATGCCGAACTCCGGGCATCCACTCCGACAGAAATTGGGCCAATTGTGGCCACCGCCTGCAGAAGTCCCTTTTCGTCTCCTGGCAGGATGACTCCTATGGTGGAACACTTAGTAACAGAATTCTCAGCTTCATAACGACAACTATAATCATCCTGAAGAAAAATAAAAGAGTAATCATAGTTAGTCCCAGAGAAAATAGAGTTTCCTGCCTGAGTAGGGGGTTGGACTAGAAGACCTCCAAGGTCCCTTCCAACTATTCTATTCTATTCTATTCTATTCCACACCACTCTCCAGTCTACTCTGTTCAACCCAACCCAACCCAACTATAGCTTGAAGAACGCACAGGAACACACAGAGAATTACCTGTCCATCATATGGGTAGCTTTCCTCTGAATTGATCCCTCCTTGCTTCTGCACATATGTAAAAGCATCTGACATAAATCCACCCTCACAACCTTTAGTCCCCTGGTTCTTACAGCAGTCGATAAGATTTTGTTCGCTCAGCGAGACCAACTTCTCTGTCTTCTTGAAATGCATGCCTTCCAGAGCGCCGGTGGCACTGAAGGCCCAGCAGGAGCCACAGTCGCCCTGGGTAAAAAACAAAGCTGCAATGATCCACCAAGGAACGGAAAATTCGATTTATCCTCCTTTAACCAGTTCCTTGTTCTCGGTTCTTGGTCGGAGGCAGCTGGGCAAAATCTCAGTTCCGACAGAAGAGAATATCTGTAGCTCAGGGTAGAACTGTGGGGTTCTGGGTGCTCTCTGAGCTTGGTTGGGTTCTTGGAGATGTTTCATTACCTAGCTAGGTAACATCATCAGTGCTAGTGTGGGGAGTGCAGGGGGGAGGAGGAGGAGGAGGAGGAGGAAGAGGAGGAGGAGGAGGGTGATGACCACGGCATCTTTTGTACTCTCTGAGCCTGGTGGTTTTCTTGCAAGCATCTCATTACCCAACTAGGTAACACCATCAGTGCTAGAAGGGAATGTGGGGTTTGTTCTCTTTTGATATATGGGAGTTGTGATAAAACTGAAGCTTCAGAAATTCAGTTAACGGAGGAAAGAATTTAGCTTCGTCTGCAAGATTTCAGGAGCTACTAAATTCCGACTTGAATTGCAAATGGGCAGATCGTACCCCTCCCTCCTTTTCCTTAAAAGCCCCTCTGCCTCCCTCCTCCATTCATGGCTGGTCAGAGCCCCCAACCCCCCCAGGCCCTTCAGCACCCACCTGATCTTTGACCTCAGTCACGGCCCCTTTGGCTCGCCAGTCCAGCACGGGGGGAATCTGCAGGTCTTCGGAGGGTTGGAAGGGGACGGCGTTCTTGAGAGCTGCCCGATCCGAGTCAGGAAGGAAACATTTCAGCCTCTGGTTAATCTCTTCATGGGTCTGAGGGTTGCAAAGGACATGGAGCTCAAAGCTCAGAGGCTGTAGGCAGCCTGGTCTAGTGGTTAAGGCGCCAGGCCAGAAAGAAGAAAACTGTCAGTTCTAGTCCCGCCTTAGGCATGAAAACTGCCTGGGTTATTTTGGGACTTCATGAATTGCCCAGTCATTGACTGAGATGGCGGGAGTGAAGGAATGAAACAACTATAGAAACTAAGCAAACCGACATCTATGTCCATTGAATAAAT